TTACTTTTGTGCATACAGGAAGGAAAAGTTGTTGTGGTTGACGGTCGCTAGGGATGGCAATCTAGATCAGCCCCATACTTGGAGCAAAACGACGCATCCAGAAAAAGTATATGTGTTTTTTTTTGGTTCACTTACACAAAGAGCTATACAAATAAGACAAACAAGCGGAACCCCAACTATACTCTCTTGTTTTATGTAGCTCTCTCAATAATGATAAATACATAATGTGCATAGAAGAACCAGTGCCTTTGGGAAATAAAAATAAACCAATTAAAAGCATAAGATAACACCTGGTTTTCATTATTTTCATTTCTTTTGTAGAATCTTCATCTAACACCTTGGCCTCTTGAGTTCTCATCTAGCAATTCGGCACCCAAAAGTTCCTCACAAATTGATGATTCAAGGTTTGTTGGTCCATTGACTGCCTTACCATCAATATGCAAACCGAGTAACATGTACACATCCTCTAAGGTCACGATACATTCACCAGTTGGAAAAAAAAAGGTTGTGTCTCTGAGCGTCATCTCTCTTACAAAGCTAGTATAAACTTTGCATCAACCGAGTAAGACATGATTTTGCTTACATGTCCAAAACCGGCAAGTTCAATATATGGTTAAATTAATTCGTCAGGTTCAACCATGCATAAGAGGTTTTGCATTCTGCAAACATGTTATTCAAATTGATGGAACATGGCTCCATGGAAAATATAAGGGCACCTTGCTTATGGTTGTTGCACAAGACGGCAACAATAATGTCTTTCTCATAGCCTTTGCTCTGGTTGAGGATGAGACCGCTTCTGCTTGGAGTTTCTTCCTTAAGAATCTCAGAACACATGTCGCTCCAAAAGCCAATCTCTGTTTGATTTCAGACATGCATGCTGCTATAGAGAGTGCTTACATTAACCATGATAACAGGTGGCATAATCCTCCTTCTACCCATGTATATTGCATTAGACATATTGCACAAAACTTCATGTGTGCAATCAAAGATAAGAACCTTCGCAAAAAAGTTGTGAATGTCGGGTATGCTCTAACTCAACCAACATTTCGATACTACCTTAACAAAATTAGGATGTCCAATGCAGATGCAGGAAGCTGGTTGGATAACATTCCATTGGAAAAGTAGACAAGGGCTTTTGATGGTGGTTGTTGTTGGGGCCGCATGACGACAAACATTGTGGAGTCCATGAACGGGGTATTCAAAGGAATTAGAAACCTACTAATAACCTCTTTGGTGAGATCAACCTATTATAGGTTGGCATCACTTTTCGTAACAAGAGGCGAAATATGGAGTGCGGTGTTAACACCGGGTCAAGTATTCAGTGAAAGCATAATGAAATTGATGAAAAAGGATACTATCAAAGCCAGCACACATGTCGTTACAGTCTTTGACAGTCATAGGCAAACATTCAGTGTACAAGAAACAATGGAACATAATGAGGGGAGACCCAATTTATCCTATGATGTCATACTAAACAGATGTTGGTGTGACTGTGGCAAGTACCAGGCCTTCCGTGTACCTTGCTCACATGTCATTGTAGCATGTGCACATGCTCGTCAGGATGTTTATGTCTATCTATCTGATGTTTACAAGGCGATTAATATTATGAATGTCTACAACGAAGGCGTTGCATTGCAACCATTGGAGGAATATTGGCCTCCAAACTAAGGTGACATAGTTTGGCACAACGATGAGATGCGAAGAAAGAAAAAGGGACGCCCAAACAGCAAGGTATAAGAACCGAAATGGATACAGCTGATAAAATGATAAAATTATGCAGTATATGCCGTCAGCCCGGACACAATCGAAAAAATTGTCTCAATGTGGGAGGAACATCTGCATCATGATTTAGCTTATCGTTTCAGTTGTTGTAACCTAATATTTTGATATATTGATGAGTCTTTGTTACAACAATGTTAACAACAAACTACGAACTAACAACACACAACACATACGACACATAAAACAACTAACGGAAAAGAAACATAATACATTCCTAACTGATTATAACAATCAAACTAATTTCACTCGGTTCAAACATGACTTCACTCGCATCCTTGTCAGTCTTAACACGAACCCATCCACGCAGCCGATCAAGTCTCTCGATACTTTGAATTTTTTCCCTTCACCAATGTCTCCTTCTAATCACCGATTTAGCTCTCTCTTGAGTTGATTGAAACTTTGCATGTTTCAAAACAGCATGTCCATCGAAGGCTTCTCTCTCAAAAATACGACTTTTTCCCACCGGCAACGATACATGTTATCAATGGAACAAAGATATGAGATGAGCTGTGGAACTAAATGATCATAACACCTCTATTTATAGAAAAAAAATTCATTTTCTAAGGAGTCTCTGGATAAATTGGTGACTCCCTTATGTGTATACAACCAAGTCACCAATTGAATTGTAGACTGCATGAGGTGTCTCCAATCTAATTGGTAACTCCCTTAAAGCCATTACAAAGGGTCTCCAATTGGTATGACGCCCACATGTTTTCAGCAACCTTAACTGGAGTACATTGGAAATTTTTTGAAAACTGGGGTATTTTAGGAATTTTTTTTGAAAAGGTGGGTTATTTTGGTAAAACAATTCTCACACACATACCTGATACATTGAAAATTATTTATTGTGACATGTGATCTACACTTAAGTTAATATATAATTTACTTTGGGAGATTAATCGCTCTCTCTCTCTCTCTCACACACACACACACATACACACAAACAGACATACACACACACACACACACACACACACACACCAATACACACACACACCAACACACACACACATACATGCACACGTATACACGCGCGCGCACACACACACACGTGCGCACACACATATGGACGAATGACATGTAATAAATTAGGGGCACTTGCCCCATTAACATATATTAACTTGTTATAATTTATTTAGTTAATTAATATTTTTATATTTACTTCTATTAAAAGTTCATTACTGTCCCCACTAAAAATATTAAATTATTTCATTTGTGTGAAATTAAATGGACAATGATATGAGAAATAAATTATGTGAGCACATAAACATGAAAATATATACTTCTTCTATTCTCTTTTATAAGTAAATTTTGACTTTTTAAGTTCATTGAATAAATGATGTATTTGGATAATATATAGACTAAATACATTAATTATTCAATGAATATAAAAAGTTAAATTTTGTTTATAAAAGAGAATGGAAGATGTATTTGATAACTTGAAAATAAAAATAAACCATGCAACAACTTTAAAAAAAACACAGACAAATCTAAATAGCAGACATCGAGATATTTTTATTTTTTTAAATATAAAATAATATGTTTTTTCTATTCTTCAATTATTAACTAAGCTATTATTATTATTATTATTTATCTATTTATAAATATCAAGAACTTGCTTTATTATCACCAGAAATTGAATCCTAACCAAATCATACATATTTAATTCAATCAGCACGTCGAAGTTGAATATCCGTTCACATTATTATTATTATTATTATTATTATTATTATTATTATTATTATTATTATTATTATTATTATTATTATTACATCACATATAATATTTTGCTTCCACTAAGAAAATTTTCTGGATCCGTCCATATATGGGGTCATATCAAGTGAGAGGAGTAGTTAATATGATAGATGAGAGGAATTAAGAGGAGTAGTTAATATGATAGATGAGAGGAATTAATTTAAACCATTGGATCCAAATCAATGATTCAGATTTAATTAAATGATAGTGATTAATTTTCAGTTTCAGTAACTCACGTGAGATGATTTTTATTAATTAGAAAAACACAATTGATATTAATTCTCGCACTTCTCTAGCTGACTATTGTTTCTTCCCTTGAACACGTGTATGTTTTATTCCATGTTCTTCCACACAATCATAATTGATACAAATTATATTAAATTTCTACCAACATATATTAGATAAAAAATAAACAGCTATTAATCTTAAATTATGTCAATTGTTTTCATTAGAATCAAAAACTACTATAACAAAATTAAAAACAATATGCCATTAATTATAATTTGTACCAGTTTTATACCAATTTATATCAAAATCAAAACTGATATAGCAAAATCGTAGCAAAATGCTAGTATGAATCATAATTTAAACCATATTTTATATCAATCAAAACTGATATATCAGTATCAAAACAAACAACTAATAATTATAATTTAAACAAGTTTTTATATCAGAATCAAAATTGATATCAGAATAAAAACAAATTGTTACTACATCCTTCTTCAACAGAATAAAAACAAAATACTATGTGATATTCTTTCTACGGTATTCAGTGATAACTTTATTCCTATTCCTTTCTATAATATTCTTCTTGTAACGATGAAGATGGTTTTTCTGGGCAATTGTGACTATCATGATAAGCATATTCACCACATGCCTTACAAAGCCTTGTTCTTTTTTTTTTGTTCAAGAGACTTTTCTTTTCCACCTTTTATTCTTTTACCACTACCTTTAGTCTTTGCAAATTGTGGGGGGAGGATTTTTACTTCTTCAGGTATATTAGATCCGATAAAGGTTTGCAAATCACCTATCTTAGTTTGGTTAGAACTCTCTTCAAACTCATCCAATTGCTTTTCCATGTTAGCCCCATTTAACACAAGAAGCAATTTTTCCTTATCTTGTCCTGCCTTTTCTAAACACTTAAGTAAGTGATCCCACACATCTGAAATGAGATTGTTATCCTTTTCTGAATTAGAGAACTTATCCAAGACATTGTCAGCTATATCTAAAATAGGTTTTCTATTTGCAAACTTAGTCCACCTATTCACAATGTACTTGTTTGGTATTTCATTTAGAAATTTACCCTTTAAAACACAAAATATGTGTTTACAAGGTATTCCTTCAGCCTGAAACATCTTGCATGAGCAGTTGGCATTATGGTCAGACAAATTATACACCACTTCTCTAAGTTTACTATTGACCTTGCCATTATCATATATATGAAATATTTCTATTCCATCTTGCTATTTCTTATTTTCAATTCCACGGTCTACACATGCAAGCCATAATTCATTCTGAAATATGTAAAAGTTCTCACGGGTATACACATCTCTCGCATGTATCTCTATGCCACGATCCATAATTAACTTTGGTGTAGAATGAATTGAGTTATTATCGGCAAGTAACTCCTTATGTCGTTGTGCTTCTATTGCCGAATCAAACCTCATCCAAAATTCAACCAAGCTAACATTTGGATTCAAGAAATTACCATAAAAAGAATTCTTACTTTCTGACCTTGATGTAGTTCTCAATATCCCAGTCAAGAAAATATCTTTAAAGTATGCTGGAATCCACATGTCTCGAATATCAAACATATGTGACAACCAATCATTATTTTCTAAGTCAAATTTGGTCATTATAGACTTCCATGTAGCTTTAAACTCATTTGGTGTCTCAGACCCCCAAACACATGACTTGAGACTTGTGTTGAACTCTTCATTAGCATTCATAGAACCACCTATTTTCTCAGAAACTTTTTTCATTATGTGCCACATGCAAAATCTATGAGTAGAGGTAGTAAAAATATTTTCTATAGCTACCTTCATGGCAGGATCTTGATCAGTTATTAGAAGAGTTGGCATTTTTCCTCCCATTGCTTCCAAAAACTTTTGGAACAACCATATGAATGAATTAATTTTCTCATTTGCTAAAAATCTTGCTCCAAGAGTTATAGATTGTCTATGGTGGTTTATTCTAGTAAAAGGTGCAAAAATCATAGAATATTTATTTGTTTGATACGTAGTATCAAATGAAATCACATCCCTAAACACAGAATAATTTTTTCTATAAATACCATCTGCCCAAAAAACATGTTTTAGCCGACCTTCTTCATCTAACTCATACGCATAGTAAAATGATGGATTAACTTCTTGCTTCCTTCTAAAGTTATCATTAAAAACATGATTTTGAAGATCTCTCTGTGTGCAACCAACATTTTGATAACCCCCAAACTGTTCTTTTAATAAGTGGAAAGTTTTTGATGTTCCAATATTTGCCTTACTATATGCAAGTAATAAATTCTTGTGAATTGGATTCACTTTTCTTGCTGATCTTAAAAATGGTCTCTTCATAGGTGAAACAAGAGCGTGTGTATGAATCTCATGAAATCGAACTAACTCATATTTACCTTCTTCCACTCATTTGAAAACAACATTTGCATTGCATCCTTCTCTAGTAAGACTCCTTCTTCTAGCTTTGATACTAGATTTACTCTGCTCTATCTCATTTGTCTTCATTGGCAAATAACCTTGTTTTGAGCAAACAAAGTACTTCCAACGCTTCACGCCGTTTTTGTCTTTAGTTTCTGATGATGAACGCACACTAAATCCGACATGATGTGCATATTTTTTGTAAAATTCTCCACCTTCTTCTAATGTATCAAATACTTGTCCAATCTTAGGCTTTAACGCATCATCACAATTTGGCACCCATTCATTTTCCTAAAAATCACAAAATAATACAATGATATCAAATATATTTAAATTAATTTATAATCTCCGATCTTATTACCTAAAAAGAAATTAAATCATTTTCCTAAGTATGAGGGATACTAAAAATATTAAATAAATTAAAGCATAAGGGAATGATAAATATGTTAAATATGTTTATACTTATTTGGTATATTATTTCTTCTTGTCTGCACTTTGTTTTGGTTAAAGAAAATATTAAAGAAAAATTGATTTCAAGCTAAAAGATGTTACCTTGGGTAGTTGAGTGCCAATTGATATCACTTTGTCCATAGCAATAAAAAGTAGGAAACACTGAACAATAGAAGAGGAAGAAGATGATATGTAAGTTGTTTTCATAAACAAGAAATGAGGAAGAAGGTAATGTATTTTCTTAGAGGAAACATTAATATGAGTTAACGTTAATTGTATTTTCTTAATTAATAAAAACTTTCAAGGGAAGAAAGAAAGTCAGCTAGGGAAGTGAGAGAATTAATATCAATTGTGTTTTCCTAATTAATGAAAACTCTCACGTGAGTGACTAAAGGTGAAAATTAATCACTATTATTTAATTAAATCTGAAACATTGATTTAGATCCAATGATTTAAATCAACTTCTCTCATTTCCCACATTAAATTACTCTTATATATATATATATATATATATATATATATATATATATATATATATATATATATATATATATATATATATATATATATATATATATATATATATATATATATATATATATATATATATATATATATATATATATATATATATATATATATATATATATATATATATATATATATATATATATATATATATATATATATATATATATATATATATATATATATATATATATATATATATATATATATATATATATATATATATATATATATATATATATATATATATATATATATATATATATCGATGATCAGTGATTTTGGTAAACAATCACTTGGTTTAGATTTATTATTTGAATGAACAATTAGTAAATTCTGAGGCATATTGTACAAAATTTCTAGAAGAAAAAAAGGTGCATTGATGTTATCAAGTGTTTGATATTGACTACTTTGAAAAAAGATTAAATTTGAAAGTAAAGGTAACAACAATTTCAACTAAGTCGAAATGATAACTTGAATGAAAATAAAACACGTAAATGTAGATAACACGGGAAGACTTTATTTGCACAAGTAAGAGTTGGTAGGCAAGTACATTTTTTCAGAGATTCGTTTCTCGCTTGCGTATGAGTACTTTGAGTTTGTATTGAAATTTATAATGATTTTGCCACACCGAATCCTAACGCTAGAATCCCTATTTATAGAAATGTGAAACTAATTATCTTCAACATTCAACTGTCTTCCATTCGACACGTCATTTATGCATGTTTCGCCTGTCGTCAATTGATCTCCATATGTCTTTGGCGCTTTGGATAAGACCAAAAATAATTATTTGGTTTGATTTTGAATTTGCTTCAGTCAAATCTCCTTCGACTTGTTGAATTGGTCAGTGTAATACCCCAAATTTTACCCTTAGATTAGTCGGTTCATTTCGCATTTCATCTCATTTTGCATTGCATTGTAAACTAACCACTAACCAATTTGCTCAATCTATTGGTTTTGCAGGAAAAATCACAATGTGCGCTCTTTAGCTTATGAAGGGAAAAATGGTCATTAATTTACAGCCCACTGACAATTTATGAAGCTGAGTCGTCCTTAGGGATCCCTCGAGCGATCAAGGTTTCCATCTCCGAGTCCTGTGACTTATTTGAGGATGAGCTGAATTTTACGGCAATTTTTGACGTCAGATTTCTCGTGATACAACACATTTTATTCAAGAGCTGAGATTCAGTCCTCAGTGGGATTTCAGAAATGTTGTTTGATTCCTAAACCATATGGAGCTGAATGTGTCGAGATATCAGTGGATTTGGGTTAAATCGGTGCGAGAATTTGCTTCACGGAATTTATTCTGATAGACATACGTTTTCCTGCTTTCTACTAGTCATCAGTCGATTTTAAAGGAACAATGAAATTCCGGTTCGCATTGAACTTGTAATGAATATCTTTGGGTTTGATCATGATTATCCGTCGAGCTGATTCAGGTTACAGAGTTAAATTATTCGAGATATAATTTGAATTTTCAATGCGGAGGGAAGTTCGTTTTTCCATTTAATTGGATTTCTCTGCTTATCCGCTCAAGACCATACGCACTGGTTTTATTATCCAATACGAATTAATTTGCAAAGAGTTTTGTTGGAACTCAGCAGTTACGTTGGATTTAAATCCTGCAAAATGATTCATTGTCGAATTCGGAGTTGGAACGTTACAGCTTAATCGGATAATTTTCATTGGATAAATTTAATTAAATGAATTTATTTGGATGTCTTTAATTGGATGAAGTTAGTCGTTTGAATTCAATCAGGCGACTTTTAGTCGGAGAAATTTAATCGGATGGATTTAGTCGGGTAGATTAAATCAGATGAATTTATTTGTATGAACTTAGTTGGACAAATTTAATCGGACGATTTAATCTGGAAGAATTTAGTTGGAAGGGCTTAATCGAATAAATTTAATTAATTGAGTTTAGTTGTTTGAGTTTAATCGAGTGATTTTAATCAGATGATTTTAATCGGAGGAATTTGATTGAAAAATAAAGAATTGAATTTATTCATTTAAATTCTATTTTTTATTACACAGGAAAATTACAATTACAAATTCAATTACAAAGTGTACTAAGTTTCCTAATGTTTTTAAGTTGGTCTTCGAGGCTGTTTCTTCAACTCTTGACTTTTTGGACCTGCACAAATCGACAATAGATGAAAAACAAGCGTTAAATTGTTAGATTTAATCAAAAATGGTTTTATCACTTGGATACCCTCAGTTAATTGTCATCATTGGGTACGCCGGGAGGGTAATGGAATATTCCGCCGCCAGCTCCTGACTTTTATTTTCGACCTTGGCCCGGACCCAACAACATCTGTTCATTTTGTTCCAAGAGAGAGAAAAGTGATTTTTGAAAATGTGATTTTGGAAAAAGCACTTATTCTGGAAATTGAATTTTGCCAAACAAGCCATAAACAGTTTTCGCAAAACCCAACCACCAAAACGGATCAAACCACACGCAAGCATCAAACAAGTTCCTTGAAAAATTCCAAACAACAAACCATCCTGAAAAAACGCAAGATCAACGACAACCTCCAAGTTCCAGCCAACGCAAACAATAACAAAACTATGAGAAACGTAACAACTTTATCGTAGCAACAACCGCCAACCACCATGAAAAACGTGAGGTCCATAACCATCAAAACAATAAGCAACAAAATCTCCTGAAAAATTGTAACGAAACAACCACAAAATCGTGAAGAAAATCATAATAGCAACACGCCCAGGCCCACGAGATCCTTAATATAAAAGAGATTCGTCAGATCAGAAAAAGGGGAACATCAAGAAAAAGAAGATAGAAGAACAAGTTCATCATAATTTAGAAGCATCAATACCAGAACAGTGGTGATACCATTATCGTCCATCAACGGACGAGAGGCGTCGCAAGTCTTCGTCCGCACCTCAGCCGTTCGTCATCATCGGTGCTTTCCAACCCTCACCGTCAACAACTCAAGAATCCGCCACCATCACCACCGCAAGTCATCGGCCAAACCGCTTCAAACCCGGAGGTGAGCAATTTTTCCGGCTAACATGATTTTTGTTGTGTTTTGTTTGCAGAAACCATACATGGAAGAACACGAATGGCGGACAAGAAAAAGAAGGAAAGAAAATTTTACAGCAAGCCACACAAAGGAGAAGATGCACCGCGCATGGAAACGAATAGAGGAAAAATTCTGCGAATCTCCATTTGGAGAGAGTCGTCGTTGCTACTACCAGAAGGGATCTTAGAACCCTAATTTTTCGCCCAGCATTTTTATGTTGGTGATGGACTAGGTCGGGTTTGGGCCTGGTCACCAGCCCGACCCATTTTGAGCTTTAGCCATTTTTTTTTTCTGTTTTATGTTAAATTTTATTATTATGTCGTTTTATTTTCTATGTTAGTTAAAATAATAAATAAATAAAAATAACTTTTAAAAATTTAAAGCTTTTAGAAAATTAAACCAAAAGCCCCTTTTATAAAATTCCACTTTTAAAACTAAACCTTTTTTTTAAAATTAAATTTCACCTATTAATAAGAATTAATTTTTAAAATTAAATCCTTTTAAATTAATTTTAACCTAAAACTAACATTTTTTAAAACTAAAACTCTTAAAAATAAACCTAACAGATTATAATTAAAAATTAACTTTTAAAACGAAAACTTTTAAGAAATTACTAATTTTTCTAGTTTTTTTTTGATACCTTTTAATTAAATCTCTAATTTTAACTTTTCTTTAAAATCAACAAAATTAACTTCTTCTTTAAAAATTAAAACCCTTTTTATAAATTAAGACTAATCTTCAATTAATTTTAAACATGTCTAACCAAATTCTCTGACATTCCACTTTTGGTTTCAAATTGAACCGTCACCTAATTGCGGAGTTGATCCATAACCTTGCCCCGTTTTTATTTCGCCTAATTTTATGTCGTTCCTCTCATATTTCCCATTTGTACTTGGTTTACTAACCTTTTATTTCTCCGTATTTCATTTTTCACGGATGTAATTTACGCGAGGCAATCGTCGCTTTTATTTTGTTATTATTCTTGCATTTTTCATGGTTGTAATTTATGCGAGGCAATCGTCACTTTTATTTCGTTATTATTCTCGCACTTTCCCATATTTCAATCCCGTTGATTAATTATTTTTTCATTGTATTATGTACCGTTATTTCCCCTCCGAAGGAAAGGTCTAGCCGTGGACCAAATTACCTTTGAACCTTTCACGTTCCAAACCCTAATTGCATAGGCGTCCTGCCGTGGACCAAATTACCCTTTACCCTAGCATTAGGATAGGGAGTCTCCGCACTCCATATTAGGTTTCCCACCGTGGAATACCTATTTTACCCTTTTTAAATGCAATTCAATTTCAACATAGAAATAGGAGTCGTCGCACTCCATGTAAGCGCTTCCCTAAGAACGCTTATTCCCAATTAAAACCTTGACCATAGTCAAAAATTTTCTCTTCCTCCCTTTCAAGGGGAACTACGATTACTCTGATTCTATCCCATACCTCAGATACGTAGGCACAAGATGCGAATCTTGGCGAGTAAACTTAAGACTAACCCTTAGGTCTTTTTCTTTAACTTCTAACCCTTAGTATATACTCTTAAGCAGATAATTATGGAAAAATAGCA